GAGAAGTAAATCCATTAAAAAAATTTTTTTTTTATTGATTTCAAAGAGGAAGGGAGAGGGAGAGAGAGAGATAGAGACATCAATGATGAGAGAGGATCATTGATTGGCTGCCTCCTGCGACCCCCACACTGGGGATCAAGCCCACAACCTGGGCATGTGCCCTGACCAGGAATCCAACCGTGGCCTCCTGGTTCCTAGGTCAATGCTCAACCACTGAGCCACGCTGGCCGGGCAATAAATCCATTTTTAAACCGTTTCTCAGAGCACCTTCTTCTCACGGTCCTGGGGGTACTGTTGGGTTGGTTTTCTAGCTCCTCTCCCTCCTCACTTACGTGTCAGAGTCTAACCATAGCCACCGAGAGAGAAGCTACCTCACAGACGCGCTGGCTACATGCTTGTTTTTACTGTCAGAGCCACGCTTGCTTTCTGCTTTCCTAAATAGCACATAGAAAAACTAGTTTAAATCAGCTTTAAGTCTCTTGGGATCCCTGCATTTTTCTTGCCGTGTTTTCAAATAGCCAGTCATAATCTCTACTATTTGGAAAGCTTGGGTTCCTAGTTCAATATTTATGTTTCCTCACAGTTTTGGACAAGATTACTGTGTTGTTTTTTTAACCCAGCGGCCATTGGATTACCATTGAGTTTATATTTATCCTTGATTTTGTTATCACAGATTCATTTTGTAGAGAAAGCCCTAAACTTGGCCTTCTATTACCTTTTATTTTTAAAAATTTTTTTTCACTTGTCAATCCTCACCCAAGGATATTTTTTCATTGATTTTTAGAGAAAGTAGAAGGGAAGGGGAGAGACAGAGAGAGAGAAACATCAATGTGAGAGAGACACATGGATTGGTTGCCTCCCACAGGAGCCCCAACCAAGGCCCGGGATGGAGCCTGCACCCCAGGTACGTGCCCTTGACTGGAACCGAACCCGAGACCCTTCAGTCTGCAGGCTGGCGCTCTGTCCACTGAGACAAACCGGCTAGAGTACCTTTGCTGCTTTTAAATCTAAGACAGGGGTCCTCAAACTACGGCCCGTGGGCCACATGCAAATACAAATATTGCATTTGTTCCCGTTTTGTTTTTTTATGTCAAAATAAGATATGTGCAGTGTGCATAGGAATTTGTTCATAGTTTTTTTTAAAACTATAGTCCGGCCCTCCAATGGTCTGAGGGACAGTGAACTGGCCCCCTGTTTAAAAAGTTTGAGGACCCCTGATCTAAGACCTTGAGATGTTCTCTGTGTGAGCCCACGAGCCCTGAAGAAACACCCTCCAGATTCAGAAAACGTCCTATCAATTGTTAAAGTCTAAAATGCAATCATTTCCTCAGGCCCCAGAATTACAGAGCACCCTAGCCTCCCCCTCCACAGTGCCCTCCCCCTCCCCCACTGAGCCAGAAAGTTCGAGTTTCACAAATAAGGGCCTTCAAGGTCTGCTTGCTACACCCTCGCTGCTTTCTCTCAATGGCCATGTCAGGGGCCCATCATTATCTGCCAGTGGGGGGCTGGAATTGGCTTTAATCCCAGCCCTTCTGGTGTTTCACCCAAGAAGGCAAGGTTATAGGAGGAGGGTGTGCAGGGAGAGGCGGGGTCAGGCAGTGCTACACTCTTCACATAAGCTTCATAAATAATTGCTCAATTGAGAAAAGGAGCAATTCTGGGATTTGGGAGATGACAAGGAGTAAGATGAAGTAGCCCAGATAAAGGCTTTAGGAAAGCAGCCATTTTAACGGATTGTTTAGGCAGAGGGCCAAGTCGATCTTCGAAATGAGTGCACATTTTTATTGTGCCAGTAGCAGCCCGTGATGCCACGCTGGAGGTGTACGTTAGAGTTGTCCATTGCACCCCCTGGACTATACATTCCTTGTGGACAGGGACCATTTTAGAACTGATAATAGTGCCTAGCAGAGTGCTCAATAAATAATTACTGAATGAGTGAGTGAGTGAGTGAGGGCGAATGAAATTCTTGAATACACACACTACCTTTCCCTTCCTTCGCCTCTTCAGCGGCCATGTATGTTCTCTGCACAGCTGAATCCCGATGCCTACCCCAGAGTCCTGCACAGGGATTCTCGGCAAATATTGGGCGACTGGTTGCCATAGAACATCACACACTTTTTGTATGATCAAAGTATGTGTGTGGAAAGTCATGCCCCATAACCAGTCTTCCGGGAACATGCCTGAGTTGAGGCTATAAACAGTGTATTGTCTTCTTGCCTCTTCGTGTGGGTGAGAAGGTGGAAATGATTCTGTGTTCCTTTGATTACAAGTTCATTCCAGGACCGGATCTGGAGTTGGGCGGCACGGTCAATTCCAGGAAGTCTTGCAGGTGATAATGTTGCAAAACAAAGCAAAAGAACAGCTGTTTTCTAGCCTTTGTGAGCAGTTAAAGCTACTTTTATTTCCACTCTGTGAGGCAGATTGGTTTTAAAGTTATTTGCTTTGAAGTTAAAATTGAATTATTCTCATTATTCTAACATACCTTAGATTGTTTAAGTTCCATATTCTATTCTCACACGAATAAAAGCAAACATAAAATGTCTCTTACCTCCGCTATTTCTATTTGTGTTGTATTATTTGTGATATTGAAATTGTGTGCTTTTAGATGGAATGTTTTACACTGTTATTTGATCTACCAAAGAATCCAAACATTGTTTCCCACGTGCACTGACTGGAAAAGAATTCTGGGCTATCTGGGGGTCTGTGGACATCATTTGTTAAATGAAAAGGAAGGTTAATCACTTTTTTTTCCAAATAGAAAGAGCTTTAGTGTTTTTCTGATTATGAAAACTACACAGTCACTGCAAAAAGAGGTCAGGAAAAATAAAAAAGAAAGTAAAAACCCTATATAATTCCGCGTTCAGGTTATTGTGCTATTCATTGTAGGGTATGTATGTCTAGGCTTTTTCTCTGCATATATAGTCATGCCAGTGCAATTTTTTAAAAATTGAAGATGGTATAATTCCACAGATATGGTTTTAAAATGTGTTTCTTCCCCTTGACAACTTTGAGATTTTCAGGGAGAAAAACGGGGAGCGTGAACTTTAGGAAGTTTTGCTTTCTTCGCACCCCCATTAACACAGCTTGTATAACAATCTGCATTACTCTTTGAATCAGTCAGGATTCAGTCGAAGGACACAGAAACCATGCTAGCTATTTTAAGCAGAAAAAGATTTGTTTTTTAAAGATGGGTGTTGTTTACGGGATTGTTGGGAGGTCCAGAAGAGGGGACCTTTCTAGGCTGTTCCTCCAGAAATAGGTCTGAACTGGAGCACTCGGTGGCCAGGGCAGCTGCCCCTTCCCTATGACCAGGAGACAGGGTAGCAGAGAGCAGCCAGCGGAGGGTTGCCCGTGGCCCCGGACCCCAGCTGACAGTCACTGCCGTTGCTATTGGCCCCAGAGCCACACGCATCTGCTTGGCCCGCACCATCCTTCCTGCTCTGTGAACTCACCATGTGCACCTCCACTTGGTGCATTTGCACGACTCCTCCCTCCTCCCAGACACGCTGCTGCCACACCTTCACTTGCTGTAATTCTTTTCATTCAGGTCTCACTTTAACTGAGACCTCCTTGGAGGGGCCTTGCCTGGCCATCAGCTGTAAAGTCGCTTCCCGGTCACTCGATGTCGTCACACTGATGTATTTTCATCATAGCATTGATCAACGCCAGATGCCTTTCATTTGTGAATGTGCCCGTCTGCTTTCCTTCTCTGTACTGGGAGCTCCATGGGAACAGGAGCTTCATGTCTTTTGCAACCCTTTCTCCAGTGAATGTGTGTTTGATGACGGAATGAACTAAGCATTGCAGTTTTTTCATCATTACCATCTGGCGGGTGAAGCGTGGGCTTTCCATGAATGACTTCTCCGGGTTGGTGAGGCCGAGCATCTTTGAAAACAGGAAGCCTTTCTTGTATACAAACGCTGAGATGATCTAGAGCAGTGGTTCCCAATGTGGGGCACACGCCCACAGGGTGGCAATTTTTTTTTAAGGGGGGCAATTTGAGTGAATTTTTGGCATTTCTTATGGTCCTAGGGCAGTGATGGCGAACCTATGACACACATGTCAGAGGTGACATGCAAACTCATTTTTTTGGGTGATTTTTCTTTGTTAAATGGCATTTAAATACATAAAATAAATATCAAAAATATTAGTCTTTGTTTTACTATGGTTGCAAATACCAAACAATTTCTATATGTGACACGGCACCAGAGTTAAGTTAGGGTTTTTCAAAATGCTGACACACCGAGCTCAAAAGGTTCGCCATCACTGTCCTAGGGGCCTCTTATAGCATATCCTCCTATATAATAAAAGGCTAATATGCAAATTGTCCCCTAACCAGGAGTTCGACCAGGGGGCGGGGCCGGCCAGCCAACTGCCTGCAGCCTCTCTCCCCGGCCAGCCTGGCCCAATCGGCCCCTATCAGGGCGGGCTGGCCAGACCCCACCCGTGCATGAATTCGTGCACCGGGCCTCTAGTATAAATATATATTGTGACATATTTATGCATTTCAGTTCTCTATTACATGTTTTGAAATTTTATTTGCTTTTTTCATATCGCTTCATATTATTATTATTTTTTAACAATTCCTTAATGATTTCTTCCTCAGTACTTCAACTGTCCTTTCATTCTTTTATTTTTCTCTTTCATGGATGCCATGTTCTTTGGAAGCTTGTTTAGACCAAGTTAATGGCCTCTTAGGAGTTCACTTTTTGAAAAATAAGAATTATTTGTCACGCACGGGGGGTGGGGGGCATCAGGACTTTAGAGACACTTAGGTGGGGTGTGGCCAAAAATAGGTTGGGAACCCCTGTTGTAGAGGTTGAAACCCTCAGCATCTTTGTTGGACGCACTATATCAGGTTCCTTACATTGCTGATAAGTTGCACTATGTCTTCAGTTCCTGACACCTCCTTCCTCACTTGTGCTCCCCCTGGTACCCATGAAGTCAGACTCCTTTCGTGGACTGCACTGACGTCCTGTCGTTTTCCTTCCTCTCCACAGCTTTTGGAAAGAACCAACGGTGGTTTTGAAGAATCAGATCCGGGTGCTACCAAGAGTCCACTCCACTTGGCTGTAAGTGAGATCCTGTGGGCAACTTCGCTTGTTACAGGAAGAACCAAAGCGTTCCTAAAACGAGGCTGCTCTGACAATGAGAGCGCAGGCATGCAGAAATAGCTGACAATGAAAACAGTACCTGGGCAAAGGCTCAGGCACATCCATTGACACCCACCTCACCACCCTCAGTCACACCCACCAACACACCCACTTACATATGCACACACACTCTGAATCCAGTGAAATCAGGTTAAAATGTGCATAAGTCTTTGTTCCTGGAGATGGATTTGGAATGGAAAATGTGGGTAGGTAGTGGGATGCTTACATGTAAAAAATTCACACCAGTTGGCTTTTGGTATCGGTTGCTCTAAAGGTTGCTCCCTGAAATCTCTGCCCAACCATCGGCTGTGCCTGGGGAAGCTACCCCATCGCTGAGGGTTCACAGACAGCACTAGCCACCCCCAGAGAGGCCTGTTGGAAAGGGTACCTCAGATGGAACCCTGATGCCCTTTGAAAGCGGGGTTGAGTACACCGCCACGCCTCCTTCTGATCTGAGAAGAGACTTCTCAGCTTCTAGAAATTCTGTCATCTCTCATTCATTCTTAAAAAGTGATTGTTCAATGTTTTTTTGCATGCCTGGTGCTCTTCTAAGCTCTATGGGTTTCCAGTCCTGGAAAGATGGGGTGGGCTTTGGGAGTGAGGAAGTGCATGCAGAGATGGGTCCCAGCTGCCAGTCTCCTCACTAGTAGCTCACCTGGACCTGGTTTCCCTCCTGTAAATGAAAAGGGATGAGTTCGTTAAGGATCCCCAAACCCTTTCCAATTTGTTAATTAATTTGTTGTATGAGCTTAGCTAAGTATCTAACCTCTTGTGCCTCAGTTTCTCCACCCCCCACATGTGGAGAACAGCAGTACCTCTATCCCAGGGCCATTGAGGGAATGACATGAGCTAAGTAAAGCAGTGAGAACAGTGCCTGGCGCCTGTGTGCAACCAGCAGTGTCATCCTCCCCACGATTAACATGATGTCGGTCTTTCATTGACATGTGCCGACTGTGTCTGTAGTAAGCACTGTCCCAGGAGCTGGAGCTGTTGCCGTAAGCAAAGCCCGGGCTCTGTCCTGGTACTTTCCAGTCCAGTCCAGGCAAGTGACTGTGTGGCAGGACGGAGGGTGATAGGTGCTGCGTGTGCCCCACAGAGATCGGCGAGACGGGGGTGGAGGTGGCCGGGGCGCTGTTACATAGCGCAGAACCTCCCTCCTGCATGGGCACCAGGGCTGCCCACGTGGCTGGCTGACACCTGAGTGTTCTAGGCAGAAGCACAAAGGTGAGGGCACACTTGGCAAGTTACCGGAAGAGCCAGAAAACCACTGTGGCAGGGAGAGTGTGGCGTGGGGAGGGGACAAGACCTGACATGTTGCCGGGGGGCAGGGAGCCGCGCAGGTCAGAGGGCCTCATGCTCTTGGAAGAACTGTGACCTTTCCTTTGAGCAAAATAGGAAGCCCTTTGGAGGAGTCTGAGGAGACAGATGAAGTGATATTACTTTTGTTTTAAAAGTGTGTGGAGTTGAAACTGTAAGGTAGACAAAGCAGAAGGTAGACAACCAGGCAAGCAGGGATGAGGATGCCTTTGGCTGTGGTGATATCAGTAGGTTAATCCTAAAACATTTTAGTAGTGCCCTTGAAATGCAAACCGTTTAAAAATATATTATTTGCTTTGCCCTAGCTGGTTTGGCTCAATGGATAGATCGTCAGCCTGTGGACTGGAGGGTCCCAGGTTCTATTCCGATCAAGGGTGCGTGCCTGGGTGGGGAGCTTGCGGGAAGCAGCCGATCAATGATCCTCTCTCATCATTGATGTTTCTCTCTCTCTCCCTCTCCCTTCCTCTCTGAAATCAATAAAAATGAAAAATATTTAAAAAATAATAAAAACAAATAAAAATGTATTATTTGCTTCAAGGACTCCCCAACGATGCCATCTGCCTGTCCAGGGCCTCTGAGGCAATTCACTGGATAAAACCCCAAGGCATTCGCTTCTTAGGTGGAAGCAGATGCCCTCCAACCTGCTGGCCACAGGACACCTGACCCATCTGGTTACCATTTCCTGCCTGAATGATCCAAGCCTCCAGGGTGACGAGCCAGGGAGTTCATGGGCATTTTCAGCCACTTGAAAAAATTAAATCAGGAAGCAGGGCTATGCAAATGAGGGCTCCCGCTGCCCAGAGGTCCAGATGGACCCATGGCCGCGCGGATTCTGTGAGGACCCCCAACTTCTTCCTCCTCGGTGTCCTCAGTTCCCATCGAAAAAGTTCAAAGAAATTAATCACGTTCTAAAAATATGTGTTACCTACCGAGATTTAAGGAATTTTGTGAAACAGACTTAAAATGTTTGTTCCCTGCGGCAAAGGCTTACGCTGGGTTGTCTGTTGAAAGCCAGCACACTACGTGCTTTTTGAACCAGCGTGTTTGTTCTTTTGTGAGTTGCTTCCTCCTTTAGTTATTTCAGAAATTATTTGTGGAATTACCTACTGACCGCCTGGTGGAAGATGATGGGAATAGAAAGGAGAATAGGACACTTTTCATCGCGTACTGCTGACTACCAGGTCCCTTTCAGAGAGCTTAAAGCTTTGTTGTCCGCTCTTTCAATAGACCCCGGAAGCCATATAATTGTCTCAAGACTGAATCATGCATTAACCATCAAAGAGAATCCCATAGGGCTAAGCTCTGAAGTGTGAAGATAAATGAACGTTCTGGTCTAGTCCGAGTTACCTTTATTATTCCCCTCCTGTTGCCTTTGACGTTAGTACGTCACTGTGTCTCTTCAGTTCTGTATTGTAATGCAGATGTATGCTAAAATGCAGGAGCTGGAAACAGGGCCAGCGATTTCCAACCTATGGCACGCACAACTAATTCCTAGAATTCTGCAGCACACCAAAAGATGTAGTTTTGGCCTCTGTATTTGTTACGGCCTAACAACAACAACAACAAATAGGTATATGTTTGATTGATTCACACCGGATGGCTCTTGTGTTTACTGTTGTCATTTTTTATCTGACAATCTAAGGGAAAAGAGGTCAGTGCCCCTGGCTAAGCCATCAGGTAGTGCATGTTTTAACCACTCTTGCCGTGGCACACCGGTTAAAAATCGCTGAACTAGTCTAAAGGCAAAAACCGGGATTCTATAGGTAAACCCGGACTACAACCATCCTGTCTTTAAGAGACGTTTCAAGCTCCTGGTATCGAAGGAAGTATGGGATGGGATTCTGAGGCTTCTCTAACTGCCAGCAGGGTTCCCTCCGTTTTATTTTGACATTAAGCCTCTTTAGCTTGGACACATGCTAATGGGTTTTTGTCGTTGCTGTGAGGTTTAAAGGGCCTCTTGGAGGAGGTGAGTTCGTACGTCAGCACCCAGCTTGTGTGCCTGTGGTGTCCCTGCGATGCTTCCACGCCGGCTGCCTTCCTGAGTCCGTCTCTGTGTCTTCTCTAGTAAATCTAACGTGTTTGCTGTCATGCTTCATAGATATGCATGTGCTTTGTAAGTCGCCGGTTCTATTTTCTGAGGCTGTCGTACTGACAGACGTGAACATGTTCGCTGTTTTTGTCGCAATAGGAATGGGCCCGGAAGGTCCACCATTTGCAAATGGCAACTAGATCCTCCTGTTACCCACTGGAGTCCTTTCCCCGGGTGTGACGTCAGGATGTCCACACGAGCAGAATCAGTTGCTGCCATTACAATTTAAATGTTTTTATTGATTTCAGAGAGGAAGAGGGAGGGAGGGAGGGAGAGAGAAACATCAATGATGAGAGAGAATCGCTGGTCAGCTGCCTCCTGCATGCCCCACACTGGGGATCAAGGCCCCAACCCAGGCATGTGCCCTGACCAGGAATCTAACCTCCTAGTTCACAGGTTGACGCTCAACCACTGAGCCACGCAGTTGGCTGGGCCCTGCCATTACAATCTATTTATTTATTTTAATTTAAATTCTTTATTGTTTTAAAGTATTACGTAAGTCTCCTTTCCCCCCCCCCCATTGACCTCTCCCTGGCCGCCCCCACACCCCAGCATGTGCCCTCACCTACCGCCCCCTGTCTGTGTCCATTGGTTTTGCTCATATGCATGCATACAAGTCCTTCGGTGGATCTCTTACCCCCTCACGCATTACAGTGGAAAGTGAGAGGAAGTGTTATGCAAAGTTTCAGTTTTCAAATAAGCCACAGACTCCAGCCCTGGGTGAGACGGTTGGATTTATACCCTGATGTCAATGCTTCTGTTACATCTGCTTAGAGTCACCTCTGGCCTGAGTCAGTGGTGGCAGAGACCAGGTGATAGGTACATGGAAATCCATCACACCAGCCTATCTTCTTGGCATAAGTTGGAATTGTCCTGTAATAAAAAGCTAAAGAAACAAAGCCATTGGCCCTGTGGCGCCCATTTCATGGCAGCTCATGCCAAGGCCCCAGCCGGGGCTCGGGGTCCGTGTGCTCTGAGTCCCAGCTCCCCATGCGAGGCCGTGTGACCGCGGGCGGCTTGGCCCATGTCCCTGTCCTTCCGTGTCCTCGTGGGTCAAGTGGGGATCACGATAGCATTCAGACCGTGGGTGGCCGTGACAGTTACAGGAGGCGCTGCCTGGCTCAGAGCAAAGGCTCAGTCCAAGTGTCGCTTCAGAGTTGATTTTAGACTGAAGGCCCGGGAGCCTCTGCAGTTACGGTTTGCACAGCAAGTCCAGATCCGCAAGGTGGGACAGGGATTCGGTTCTCCGTCTCGAGAAAGGCCGCGTGCGGTGTAGGAGCGACGGCCTGGACGTCCCCGAGCGCAAACCTTGCTTCATCGCTCGTTCGGGGCACTTCCCCCGACAGCAGGCCTTCCAGGAAGGAGTGTAGTTTCTGATCCAATGCTGTTAATCAGCTCTCCACGCCGGAACACGCAGAGACAAAAGTATTTTGTCTGAAAGTCACTTCAATGGAATTACTGGGGGGAAATGATGAGACGTTGCCTGAAAGCCTAGGTTTTCGTGGGCTCAGATTTGGGGTTTCAAATCCCGACTGTCATGTACTAGCTAAGTGCTGTTGAGTCAGTGAACATTGCTGGTTTCATTGTTTGTTTTATTCATCTATAAAAAGGATGCTTGCAGTGATTAAATGAGAGGCTATAGCTGGAGTGCTCAGCACACTGCCTTCAATAGTGCTATTTAAAAAACATATTCCACCCTGGCCGGTTTGGTTCATTGGGTAGAGCGTCGCCTGTGGACTGAAGGGTCCCGGGTTAGATTCCAGTCAGGGTCACATGTCTGGGTTGCAGGCTTGATCCCCAGTGGGGGGCATGCAGGAGGCAGCCAATCGATGATTCTCTCACATCAGTGATTATTTCCTTCTCTCTCCCTCTCCCTTCCTCTCTGAAATCAATAAAAATATATTCAAAAAAATACTCAGAGGAAACAATTTAAATAATTTTTAAAAAGATAAGGTGAAAAATGTCCATATGTTCATTACTTTACTTTTCGTTTCTAGTTCACAGTTTCTCTCCTAATCTTCTAAAATTTGCTATAACTATAGAAGTATACATATAAAGACATGTATATATCTGGATATATTTGCTTTTTTGTATAAATGAGGTCATGCTCTATGCAGTGTTTGCAACTTAGTATTTTTTTTTTATTTGATAGGTTTTGTCAAATTGCTCTCCACAAATGTCACACCAATCTATATTCCCACCAACAGAGCATAAGATTGCTTTTTCCACCGCTCTTAACTAATACAGGACATGACCAAACTTAATCATTGCCAATCTGGTAGTTAAAAAATAGTACCATAAAATATACATCTTTTTTCATATGTTCACTGACCTTTTCTTTTTCTGTGAGCTGCCTCTTTATGTCCTTTGCACATTTTCTAGTTTTTAAAAACGGTTTGTAAGAGCTCTTGTTATATTAAGGAAACTAACCTTTTTCTGTGCTGAGCCCTTTTTCAAATAAATGGTACCTAAGTAATCACCGAGGCAGAAACATGGAAGGTGCCGGAGACAAAAGAGAGGTCTTGGGCTGAGGACTCCGAGGACTGGCCTTCCCTCCGTCTCTCTCACCTCCCTGCTCCTCCCTGTCCCTGATCTCTGGATTCCTACACCTTTTCTTTTCTTTATTTCAATGTCCTTTCTCTTGTGTGTACATGGATGCTTTGTACCTCATAGACTTAATAAAAATCAGCTTTCAGACTTTTGTTTTTTAGTATGAAGGCTCTTCCTCTTAGCATAGCATAGGGCCTCATAATAGGTCAGAACTTGGCGCTGCTACACAGAACGTTTTTCCACACTTTTGTCTCTGTTTTCATTGTAATCAGTGGAGGGAGTAAAGGGGAGAGGAGGAAGCATCAACTGTGTACACAGTACGATGCAAAGCCTGTGCGATTTTTTCTCTCTTTTTTTTTAATCCTCCCTGTGAGGCACTTTTTATTGCTCTCCTTTTATAGACAGGGAAACAAACTAAGTGAAATTAAGAAACTCACCCAGGGTCACGTGGCTAGAAATGAAAATATTCAACCGCAACAAGGTTTGTAACGCCTCTGTTGAATTATGAAGACCACATGTTTTTGGTAACCTTTTGCTCCAGGTTTAACAGAATAATCTCCCGGGGGAGAAAAAAAATCGGATCATGTCAGTATGGTTAGCCTGAACTGGCAGATATAAGAATATATTAATTCATTCAGCTGCTGGTTTGCATTGGAAGAGTAAATCAATAGATACAAATACATGAATCCATTAATACATTCAGTGTCTCTGGGGCAGATTATTTGACAAAAGAGAAAGGGCACAAAGGAATTCATACATAGTTGTGAGTTTCATGCATTTTGATTTTTCAATCTAATTGTTTGGTTTCCTGTTTTTTTGTTTGTTTGGTTTTTAAAAAATATATTTTATTGATTTTTTTTACAGAGAGGAAGGAGAGGGATAGAGAGTTAGAAACATTGATGAGAGAGAAACATCCATCAGCTGCCTCCTGCACACCCCCTACTGGGGATATGCCCGCAACCAAGGTACATGCCATTGACCAGAATCGAACCTGGGACCCTTCAGTCCGCAGGCTGACGCTCTGTCCACTGAGCCAAACCGGTTAAGGCTGGTTTCCTGTGTCTTGCTTTATCCCGAGTGTCTGTCTGACGAGCTCCTTGGGGTGGCCTCTGTCTGTGACCTTGGAGGCCGCACCCCTCACTGGGGAAGCGGTGGGGTCCGAGGCAAGCGAGCACTCGTGTCACTGGCTTCCCCTTTGCAGGCCTACAATGGGCACCACCAGGCCCTGGAAGTGCTCCTGCAGTCCCTGGTGGACCTGGACATCCGGGACGAGAAGGGCCGCACCGCTCTGGACCTGGCTGCCTTCAAGGGCCACACGGAATGCGTGGAAGCGCTGATCAACCAGGGCGCATCCATCTTCGTGAAAGACGATGTCACCAAAAGGACCCCACTTCACGCCTCAGGTGGGTCTCACCCAGAGAATGGTTAGCGTTTTTGCGGCCGACTCATAAGCTGAGTAAAAGGTTGGCAGCATCTTCTTCCATCCCAATTTTTAAAACATTTTCTTTCTGCATCAGGCATGCCTACACCCTTCCAAAACCCTTGGCTTCCCATCCACGTGGAGGTGATCGGTGTTCTCTGGCCAGATGGGCCCTGGCGTCTCCTTTAAAGATGTATTTTTTTAGAGCAGTTTTAGGTTCAGAGACTTCCCACCCACCTCCTGCCCCCCTATGCATAGTCTCTCCCATTACCAACGTCCCAGGAGAGTGGTACATATATTACAATTGATGAGCCTACATCGACACCTCCTCCCCGTCCCAAGTCCATAGTTTCCATTAGGGCTCACTCTTGCTGTTGTGCGTCCCATGAATTTGGACAAATGTGGAATGATATGTGTGCATTACTACAGTATCATACAGAGTACAATACTGTAAATCCTGCTCTAATAATCCTCCGCGCTCCATCTGGTCTTAACTCAAAAGAGAGTGCAGAGCCTTTGGCCAATAGTCATCACAAAACGTTCTGAAAAAGGGCAAGGCCTACTGTGACCTTCAGATAAGTCACATAGAACAAAATCACACAGCATTTTAAAGTGGGAAATTCATGACATTTCAGGGCTGTTTCATAAAAGGAGTCATCAGACAGCGGACTAATCAGCGCACTGTTCTGCCAGCCTAAATGAGGCCTCTGAGCTTTTGCTCTGATTCTTGGTGCATCGGGTGTAAAAAGAGACTCTTAAAATGTGCATATAGATATCAAAAAGGAACTAATTGTCTTTTTCTGGGATTTTTCTCTAATACACATACAATCAAACTGTATCAGGACCCTGCTAGAGGTACACACAGATATAAAGTGATGGGGAGAGCCTCTAGATCAGTGAGGGCATATGTTCCTTTGGAGTCAGGGATTCAATGATATCTGCCTTTGATCAGGGTCATAAATATTGTCTTATGATGAGAAATAACTGTCTTATACCATTAAATGAGTGTCTTGAAGAAGCAAAGAGTGAAGATGGTTTTCCAGTAGATTTAATGATCTTGTTGGGAAAATTTTATCAGAATGTTAGACTTTGTAGAAGAATTTCCACCTACAACCCTGAATTTCCAAACCACTGAAGAAAAACAATATGGAGTAGAAAAAACACACAAAACATGGCTGTTGCCTAATTACCTGGAAACAATTATTCCTGGGGGGGAAAAACTTCAGTCATGAGGTCAGCAGTGGCTGGTTAAATTGCAGTTCTTATTTTTTACCCACATTCAGTTTTTTTGGTATTGTTGTAAAGCATTATACAGTTTGATATTCTAGGCATCCTTGGCATTATTCTAAAGTTCAAATTTAGTTCTTTTAAAATATTGGTTGCCTACTCTTAAAGCAAGCACCCTGCCTTAGTTACCAGGTACTCCCTGACAACGACAAAGGGCCTCTTTTCATTGTGGAGAATCACTCTTGTAAACAGTGAACCATGAAAAATAACCATGGTCACTCATTTGCCACTGCATAGGTTATGGTCCAATGGAGCCCCCTCGTGGTCAAGCCGACTCACTCCTTTTGGATGTCCCTCAAGTCATTCATTGGGCAACACAGGCTATCATTCGACTCTGTTCTCCACAACATGTCTGCTCGTGCAAGCTTTAGCCCGTGCTTTCAGAATCTGCTTACCCTGAATCTCTTCCAACTCATTTGAAAGGCCAACTTTTTGTTGTTGTTGTTTCAAATCCTGGGAATTCTGTGAGGAGCAGGAGCCAGAACGGATGTCAGAGGTTTGGGCACAGCTAGTTGCAATGGCAGTTGCGGCCTTTGAGCAGCGGAGGTGGGGCTAGCCTAAGACAAAGCTGGACTTGGCCCCGCACAGCCAAGGAGATGTTAGCCATTGGGGAAATGGAGAGTGTGGGGAGCCAACAGGAATTCCACTTTGGCTGCACTTTTCCACGAAGGGGGCCTTATACTTACCTGAGGGCTATTGGCTCAGTCCAAAAAGCAGTACCCCCCCCCCAAAAAAAAAAAACCCAACAACACACACTACTGTGGGTATTGGTTTGCTTTGCAACACACTGGCTCAGTGATAGGAACTTAGATGATTTTTCCCTTTCTCTGTTTAGCCAAAAACCAAATATCCTTGGAGCCTGTAAAGGAGGTCAAGTTGATGACGAAGGAGGCATCAGTCACACTCCCCTGACCCTCCCTCTGCGTTGGGGACCCATTGCCCTAGCATTTAGCTCCCAGTCCTCTGCCCATCCTTTCCTTTTAAGCATACAGTAAACTGCTCGCCTGCAGGCGGTACCGTGGTAACAGGTTGAATGCACTACTGAAACAAAGAAAACAACCCAACGGCAACCACAATACGATGCCTGTGTTCCAGTCCCCAGATTTCCTCCTGAGGTACAGAAATGTACCTGAGAATGAGCCGAGAGCAGCGGCCCACAGAATGTGGGGGGCGTTATTCCTGTGTCTCAGCTGAGTGGTGTCGATGAAAGCGAGCTCATTCTAATATGCATTGTCCCTGAAAAACGTGTCATTGAATTAACATTCTCTCCCGACTGGCATTCGATAAAAGGACTGTAAAGTGCAGCTCTTCCAAGAGCCCTCATTAACCTAACGTAGCTGCATCTACATCTATTCCCTTCTCTCTCCGCATCCATATGGAGGCAAATGCAATGCATGCTGCGGTGTCCTCACCGTTCAGAGAGGAGAGAAGGTCACGGTGGAAAATGTACACATTGCTTGTCCTCAGCCTACTCCCCGAGTGGAAGCCGTGTCTGTGTGAGGCTGTGGGTGGCATCCAACAAGCTTCAGGGGGGAGCTGCTCCCGCCCCACTGTCCTCCTGGGAGGCTGCCTCCCAGCACCCGAAGCACCCACCCACAGGAAGCATTGCGCCTGGTGTGCATAAGTATAACCAGCAAGGGCTCCGGGCTGCCTGTCCCTGCTTGAGCCAATGAAGCAGAGACAGGGCTGCATCATATATGAGCATTTATTCCAATACTGCCATCAGCATGGGGAGCAGCAGGTCACCCACAAAAATCTGCCCTTCCCCTTCCCCCCTAAAACCAGCTGCTTATATTGGGTAAAAGGACAAAGCTTACATGGGGAAGTAGGCAAAGGGGTATGCCAAATGGCAGTTTGCAGGTAATAATGGCTGGAGATTTGCAAAGGCCTGCGGCATGGCACGCACAGGCTGGGGGTCTTCACAGGGCTGGCAGCTCTGGTTTCTGCAACAAGGCTGTTCCTCTTCCCATGACAACAGGCCGCTCCCGATGGGGAGAGGGCTGCATTTCTAGGTGAGCTCCCAGGTCCCACGTGCACCTCCAGCCAGGTTAGAATGTGCCCTCTTTCATCAGAACAAACCAATCCCGGTGAACAGGGCATGATTCATATTTCTTACAATTACAGCTGGCCCCCAATATTCTATTTCTGCCCCTGTCATAGGGTGTCATGTGATGTGCCCGAGCTGGTCCAGGCCAGCAGCAGTGTCCTGGCTGTGTCTCTTGCCCATTGCCAGCCCTCGCTGTGACCGCTGGTGATTAGGGGTGAGGACCCGCAGCACCTGGGAAGTGGAGAGGAGACCTCTGCAGGGGAAGGGAGGGGAGGGGAAAGGAGGCCAGGGGACCAGGAGTGTGAGGCTGATGGAGAGCCCCACCCCCCCGCCCTTACCCCTGCATGCATGAGACACTGTTAGGCTGTGGTTTGAGGAACTCTGGGACAGAGGTGCCCCTGCAGGCCGCCCATCCAGGCTGTCAATCAACGAGCAGTGAGTGGGCAGCCTCTGTACACCTCCCCGGCCTGAGGGTTTGCTCTCAGTCACTGCGCATCAATCAGAACGGTTACTTGGATGCCTGCAGAATGTACAGTGACGGAGGGAATATTAGCAGGACCTGTTCGCGCTCTCCCTTCCTCTTCTCGCCTCTCCTCTGCTTCACCTCCTCCCTATCCCCTCCTTCCATCGTATTCCTGCTCCCCTCTCTCCCTCCTCTCCCCTCTCCTGTCCCTTCTTCCTGCTTTCTAAAAAGGTCTGACGGCAGGCAGGACCCCGGATTACATAGTACTATTGTGTGACTCTCTCAGAAGAGCAAAAGCAACTGGGAAGCGGGGAGAAATGAAAAAAAGAGATTTGAAAAAAAGGGCATCATGTGTAAGGGAAATAACCCTCAGGGCATGAAGCAGGGACCAGTTCGGTAAGGACCAGGCCTGCTGGGGAGAGCGGAGAAGAAGGACGAGTGAAGTCAGCCTCGGGGCCCACTGAGCCGGCAGCTGGTATGACCTGGAATGTGGGGACAGCAGACTGAAGACCAAGCAGACTTCGCTCTGGAGGGCTGTGTGTGATCGTGTGGTCTGTGAACAGAATGCCGTTCTTTCTCTTCCAGTGATTAATGGTCACACCCTGTGTTTGCGGCTGTTACTAGAAATCGCAGACAACCCGGAAGTGGTTGACGTGAAAGATGCCAAAGGACAGTAAGTGTCCCCCCTGGGCCGGGCCGGGCCGGCGGCTCATGTCAGTCACGGAGGGTGATGGTGGGTTGGTTTAGCCGCTGGGAGGGCTGACTGCTGAGCGTGAGGTTGGGGGGTACATGTTTGGGTGAAATTCACTGGCTGAGGACCCTGGACTAATGAGGTAGCTTCGTGTCAGAGAATATGCAGGGACGGGCAAAAGTAGGGCTACGGTTGCTCATATGGAAAAAGACGCAGCTTATGATGATTACAATAGCTCTCTTAACTCTAAAGAATGTCACCACGGGACTTAGATTCTACCTAAGTGCAGTGTGTGTGTGTGTGTATGTGCGTGTGTGTGTATGTGCGTGTGTATGTGTGTATATGTGTGTATATGTGTGTATATATGTGCATGTATGTGTATGTGTATATATATGTGTGTATGTGTGTGTGTATGTATGTGTGTATGTGTGTATATGTGTGTATATGTGCATGCATGTGTATGTGTGTGTATATGTGTGTGTATGTGTGTATGTGTGTATGCGTGTGTGTATATATGTGTGTGTATGTGTGTGTATGTGTATGTGTATGTGTGTATGCGTGTATGTGTATATATGTGTGTGTGTATGTATGTATGTATGTGTATGTGTATGTGTGTATGCGTGTATGTGTGTGTATATATATGTGTGTGTATGTGTGTCTGTGTGTGTCTGTGTGTGTCTCTCTGTGTGTGAGTGTGTGTATGTGTGTGTATGTGTATGTGTGTGTATGTGTATGTATGCGTGTATGCATGTGTGTGTATGTATGTGTGTGTGTATGTGTGTATGCGTGTGTGTGTGTGTGTGTGTGTGTGTGTGTGAGTGTGTGTTGATGAAAAAGCGCCATCTTCGTACGCCTAGGGCCACGTAGCCTGGCCTTTGACAAATAGTCCTCCTTGGCTCCTTCTTCCTCCCCATTTTACCCTCTTTTGAAGCTGCTACATTTTCATGTTCACATGAACAATGGCAATGGCCTCAAGAAGTTACCTCCGTCATAAAAATCCTTCATATTTGCCTCCTTCCTTGGGTTTGTTTTTCCCAAGTCCTTCCCACCTGATGGCTGTTCCTGCCCCAGTCTTCTTACAGAGAGGAAAGGCGGGGCCAGCACGAGTGCCTCACCGCCGGCATGTGAGTCAGTGTCGAAGTGGGAGCTAGGATGCCGCTCCTGGGCCCCAGCTCCCTGCTCTTTCCTCTGTGTTGGCCAGGCTTGTCTGGAAGGCAGCAAGCTTTGGTCAAGTGAAACATTGAGCAAACGCCAACGCAGAACTCTGTGAAGGTCGAACTACTCCGAAAGGAGCGAGAGGGTCTCCCTGCTCGGTTGATATCTCGAAATGCTTCTGGAAATGATGGGATCACAGTGACCATCCTGAGAAGGAGCCTTTCCCGGCCCACCCACATCAGTCATCCCACTGACACCATTCCAGGTGGCCATTAGATGCCAGAGGCGGAGAGAGACATATATACTAGTTTATATAGCCAGAGAGGGAGAGATGGAGACAGATAGAGACAGACAGAGTAACAAAGAGAAGGAGTTCCTCCCACTGGAAGTAATGAGTATTTTGTTTTAATTTTCTTCTAAAAAGCCAGTCTTTCTCTCTCCTAGAACCCCACTGATGCTGGCAGTCGCATATGGACACATTGATGCTGTCTCATTGTTACTTGAAAAGGAAGCAAATGTAGATGCTGTTGACATCATGGGGTGCACAGCTTTGCACAGAGGGGTACGTACGTCTTCCTCAGCCACAGTCAAGCCATCGTGTAATGAGCATGCTTCCTCTTTACTTCCCATATGAGTTTTTAGTGAAAAGATTTTTTCCCAGGATAACCAATGAACCTCAATCGGCCTAAAAGAAATAACAAACTCTTTTGCAAAAGTAAAATAGTGGCGGGTACTCTGAGGTCCTGCTCTTGCAATTTCATGGTCGATTGTGATAACAGAACCACGAACTCCTACTGTTGGTAGAATTGCTTCTACTTTCAGATGACAAAATACTTGCACAGCATAGAAAATTTGCAAAGTATTTTTTTAAAGCACAGAGAAGACAGTTACAATCACTAGTAATCCTACCTCCTGGAGATAACCATTTTTTTTTTTTTTTGGTTTATATACCAAATCTTCTTTACTGTATATAGATTTATTTTTTTAAATATATTTTATTGATTTTTTACAGAGAGGAAGGGAGAGGGATAGGGAGTTAGAAACATCAATGAGAGAGAAACATCGATCAGCTGCCTGCTGCACACTCCCTACTGGGGATGTGCCCACAACCAAGGTACATGCCCTTGACTAGAATCGAACCTGGGATCCTTGAGTCTGCAGGCCGACACTCTATCCACTGAGCCAAACCGGTCAGGGCAGATTTATTTTTTAAAAAAATTTAAAAAGAGAATGCTGAAGATACTATTTGGAACCTACTTTTTTTCTTTTAGAATATCAAGGACCTTTTCCATGTCAGTAAATATTTTCCTGCTCTATCATTTTTAATGGTCCATTGTATGCAGGTGCCATAATTTATTCCAGTGATTGCTTAGTGTTGAGTAGCCATGCTATGTCTGACTGTTGACCCATTCCCCACCTGAAGTATGTATCCTGTGACATTTCTTTGTATACATCTGCTGAGTTGTTTTTTAAAGCATGCCGAGGAAACGAAATCAAACAGAAGCAGAAATAAAAGTGCTCTTTGGGGCTGGTGCCAACCGCCATGGTCGGTGAACAGGAGAGAAACTCTCAGTGGTTGAAGTGATTATCCTCGTCCTTATTTCTTGGGGACTTCCTGTGGGCCACGCAACAGGCTGGGGTCTTTACGTACCTTATCTCGTCAGTCCTCACAACAACCTGTGGGGTCCTTATGACTATCCCCAGGTACAGGTAAATGAAATGAGCCCGAGAGGTGAATTGACTTGTCCAAGCTTTACCAGGGGAAGCCAGGATTTAGCTCACACCTTCCTCTTTCTAACGGTCATGTGTTCCACTATATCGTAGTATCTTTCATGGTTATGTCTGGAGAGTCAAGATGTTTCTCACAGGCTGATGTCCACACGGACTTTTCTGCTATGAATCTGGCTGGGCTGTCCTCCCGTGAGGCCCGGGCACGCATGTCCTCTGACTCTGAGCCCAGCCTCACTCAGCCGCCTGTTTCACATCCCGAGCCGGCTGCCCTTCTGACTTTTGTTTTGTGTTTTCAATGCAATCGATTAGATCATGTCAGGTCATGAGGAATGTGTGCAAATGCTGCTGGAGGAAGAAGTATCAATTCTCTGCAAAGATGCCAGAGGGAGGACCCCCTTGCACTACGCCGCGGCCCGCGGCCACGCCACGTGGCTGAGCGAGCTGCTGCAGATGGCCCTGTCGGAGGAAGACTGCTCTTTCAAGGACAACCAGGGCTACACGCCGCTGCACTGGGCTTGCTACAATGGTGAGTGGACTGCTGTGCGACTGAGTCCAGTGGGTTCCCTCTGAACCCGGCGCCACTGGGATCTCAGGGGAGGGAAAGCAGCACAACGCTGTCAACCTTGATTTCCAATCTTTTTGCATCTGAGACACCTTTTTTCTGTTGTTGTTTTTTTAAGTATGTTGCCCTTCCTGGCTACTATGATGCCTCAATGGAATAAAAATTCACTTTCTCCCTTTTTGCTAATTAATAACATAAAACTCCTAATCAGGACTTCTAATGAATATCCAGTTTTAATGAAGGTTTCTGATGCTATATGATATAACCAGGGACCCTACAATGAATTAAAATAACACAGCTAAGACCTGTTACGGTTGACTACCAGTCAGACTTCTAGGTGATTGATTTGTCTTTGGGCATTTCCTCTTTCATATCTCATTTCCCCCATTTATTTTGTCACACTTATAATTCAGAAGATCTAACATTTCTTATTTTACTTATTTGAGTAAAAAAGAAATGCAAGCTCATCGTAAATTTCAAAAATATTGACATGTCTAAGGTAGAATTAAGTCTCCATTTCCAAACTTACTTTCTGATGTAATTTGGTGTGTACCTTTAATACTTTCCCCTTGAGGATATAAATACAAATGTATGTGCATCTGTTTTTTTAAACTAGAATCATAGAACAACTATCATTCTATAACTTTCTTTTTTGTTATTGTTTATTTAACATGGTGGGGCACAGGTATAATGGCCACCTGAACAAGAAGATGTCTGCAGACGAAAAACGATGTAGGCAACAACTCCATACACTGTAACAGAAAGGATTACAGGATCATTTCCTTACAGGGAGGTAGGGTCAGAGCGGACAGACAACCCAGCACTCTGCACAGATGATTCTCCGCTAAGAGACCCCTGTTACAGTACTTTTTATGCTGTAACTCAGGTACTAATGATTGACAAGACAAAGGGACAAAGAACGCAGTCAATGAGTGCAGTAGTGCCCAGCCGGTGTGGCTCAGTGAACCAGGAGGTCACTGGTTCGATTCTTGGTCAGTGCACATGCTCTGGTTGCAGGCTCACACCCTTGTGGAGGACGTGCAGGAGGCAGCCAATAAATGCTTTTCTCCCACCGATGTTTCTCTTTCTCTATCCCTCTCCCTTCCTCTCTCTAAATTCAACAAAAACATTTTTTTAAAAAAAGAATGCAGTTGCACCAGGGGCCATACCTCCTGGTGGTCTTGCGACGGAAGATGGTTCATAATGGATCCTATCACCAGGTTAATATTTATTCTGGTTGCCATGGCATTCTGGCGGTTACTAACAAAAACATTTATGGTAGGTTTTATGGAACACTGATAATCATCAACTACAAGGCTCTGATAGGCTTGCTCAGTGAAGCTGATCGAAGGTCACCGCAGAAGAGAAATCCGGGACCCAGGGGGGGAGTCAGTTTTGTCCGCATCTACTTCTATACACATTCTATTGCAGATATCCTGCAAGTTATTGAGTATCGATAATGATTGATCTCCTTAGTATATTGCAGAGCAGATAAATCACTGTAGGTGTGTGTGTATCACAATCTATTATTTATTCAACCGGGTCCCTGGGGATGGACATTCGGATTGTTTTCAGGTTTTTTCCTGTTAAAATGAGGCTTCAGTGTGTGTCTATTCGTAGTATGTACCTTAATTCTGTCCGATAAGTTTCCAGAAGGGAAACTATGGATGAGGACATGCGTGTTTTTTAACTTTAATAAATTACACCATGTTACTTTGCAAGAAGGGTGTAATTTATTACTCCCCCAGACATGTATAAGACCTATATTTCCTCCAAGCTTTTGCCAGCCCAGGAAGATAGCATCTTTTTCCTTTTTGTGAGTGTGAAGGGCAGAAAAGGTTATCTCATTACTTTGGTTTGTGTTTCCCTGACCAACAGTGTGTTTATTTATTGGTATTTCATCTTCTGGAAATGACCTTTTCCATCTATTGCTTATTTTTAATGAGTTTTATCTTTCCTCATGCGTTTGCTGGAGTGCCTTGTCATAGAGATAGGAATCCTCCCTGCATGTGCTATGTGCTGCCAGTGTTTTCTCTCAGTCTGTCATTTGTCTCTGGTCTTTGTTTATGATGTCATTTTCCATGCAGAAATTTTGAACTTTTGTATAGTTGAGTCCGCCATGTTTTTATTGCTGGGATCTAGGTTTCCAGTCCTGCGTAAGGTCTCCCACCTGTAAGTTTATATGGATATTTTCCCATATATTTTCTACTCTGTTTCTATCATTTTATTTTTCCATTTGCAATTCTCATATTAAAATTTTCACCTAGACAGTTTGGCTCGGTGGATAGATCATTGGCCTGCAGACTGAAGGGTCCCACGGTCAAGGGCACATGCCTAGGTTGGGGGCTTGATCCCCAGTAGGGGGCGTGCAGGAGGCAGCTGATCAGTAGTTCTCTCTCATCATTGATGTTTCTATCTCTCTCTCCCGCTCCCTTCCAGTCTGAAATAAATAAAAATATATTTTAAAAACATTTTCACTCAGAAACTATGGGGTGCTCTAATTTACAACATTTCATTTTCATTACAGTCCTCTTTCGTCATTGGCTCTGCCCAGGAAGAGCCAAATTTTCTACTTTCTCAAGTTGGCTTGGTCCCTCCCTGCTACTGGAGGATTGGGTTTCTTTACTTACCAGTGGCTGAGGGCCCCCTAAGCCCCATCTGGGTCAAACCCAGAGATCTCTCTGGCAGGAAGGGGAAGGCGCAGTCAGAGTGTTGGTCTTATGGCAGGTGGCAAACTCACCGACCACATCCTCTCTCCTGAGATGAGGGGAAGGGGTGTGGCAGGGCTCTGTTCAGAGGCCTCTCCAGGTGCAAGCAGGGGAGGGGAGTAGTCCCGCCCTAAGCAGTTCCAGTGCAGTCTCCCTCCGGGTCTGAGGGTCAAGCTCCCATCTTCCCAGAATCCCCTTCACCGAGCACTGTGAAACACCGAAAGTCACTCAAGGATGCCCAGTCCTATCTACACAGACCCTTAGGTTGGGGTTCATAGAGTCCCAAAGAGTGGTGTGTGTAGACGCTTCCCTAAGTAGATCCTTGGGGGGGGGGGGGATTCATACTAATAGAGGGTGTGAAGTGTTTAAGTGAGGGTTGGGTATAGGCGGAAAGCTAAACAGTGTAACTTACATAAAGTTAGGGGATTTTTATGTTCATTACTTTATATGTTTTTAACCCTCCTTCCAGCAGTGTCCCCTTGTCTCTTTATAGGTAAAAGAAAGGTTTAGGTTGTGTTTTAATACCAAAAATTGTCTGATCTTCGTCATTCTGAGGTAGATCATGAGAGAGCTGAGTTCAGCCAACAGGAGGTTCCAGGACAACAATCTGTATTCCAAAGCCAAATAGTTTGGCATTAATAGCTGTCCATCCCTTCACAGACCACATTCCGGTCCTTTATCCATAAGCTCCCATCACCCTGTGACACCGGTAGGGCAAGTTTCCTCATCTGATTTCTTATCTATGAGAAATTGGGACTCACAGCTCCCAAGAGAGTTGCTTTAGATCACGTGACAAGGAAGCCAACAGAGCTGAGGCCTTAACTTAAATTCAGTTGATTTGGAAACTACTTGTCATTTTGTTGAAAATAATTCCTCACATTCATTCCTCTACTTATTTTTTAAAAAATACTTATTGGGTACACATTGTTTGCCAGGAGCTGGTCTTGGTGCCATTTTAAACACTTATACAGTATTTTACACTCAGCATTTTACCCTTTCATCTGCTATTTTCTATCAATCACATCTTCTCCCCTTCACTAGGGTCCATAATTATAAGTGAATCTACTCAGATGGGTGAAGGGGAAATTGCCTGTTGTAAATATAGGCCAACTGAGGTGTGTTAGATGTCTACCTAGCAAGAGCTGAGCGTAACATAGAATCGATTCTGCTTGCAAATGAGGTCCCTTCTCCATCTCATTCTCTCCATCAGACCATATGGCTTTCATTGTCTTATTTGTTCATTATGTCTCAGAACTCCTGTGAGCATAGTCAGTAACATGTTGGCATTTTGTGAATTTCATTCCATGGAGGTTGAGCATTCAGCCGATTCAGGAAAATGCATAAGCCAGAATTCAGTTCTTAATAACAAAAAAAAAATTGATTGTGTTGAACAAAATTTCTCTCTTGGAAACTTCCTAAATTCTTTTGCTTCCTTGCAGGCAATGAAAACTGTATAGAGGTACTTTTGGAGCAGAAATGTTTTCGCGAATTTATCGGCAATCCCTTTACTCCGCTGCACTGTGCAATGTAAGTAGCGATGCCAGAAGTCAGTGGCGCTGCTTTAATTCCTTCAACGACACGTAGGAAAATTGACCTTTGGAAAGGAAAAAGCTTTCACATTACAGATTAGACCAATGTATTCCATTTTGCTGCTAAAGGCAAATAGGTCTGAGAGCGAAGCGTGGTTCCTAATGTTAATGATTTCCAGGAGATTTCTATGAAATCACATCCCACCTTAGAGAAACTGCATGAAGAGGTGGCCTGAGGGGCGCCTGACACCCCATACTCCTCAGGTATACTTCACACCTGCAGCCAAATTCTAAAAATATGCCTGCGAATGACTAGAAAGACATTTTCTACCAGGAAGACTTTTCATGTATTGTAATTCCCTTTCTTCGTGTGCTGTAAGGTTTTTTTATGTGTAATTTTTGCTCCCATCTCAATGTGTGAACCATTGTCCAGAGAGTACAGGGACTGTAAGTCAGACTTCCATGTCAGCCTGCTGGGTCATGGGCACCCAGGTGGACACTTTCTTGAGGTTGGTGGGTGACCTAGTGCCGATCCAGCCTGCTCCCTGACCAGCTGGCCCTGGCACAGGAGATGTGAGTGGCCAGCGCTCTCTAACAGCTTTGAAGCGCTCCACCCTTGCCCTCCAGTTTTTCGGCTTTCGCTTCCACGATTCCATGAACAATAGGCCTATTATTTCTCTCACAAGGTTTTTTTTGTTTTTGTTTGTTTGTTTATAGTGGCAGACACCCTAAAGGCTTTACTATTATTATTTTAAGTCTTTATTGTTGAAGTATTACATATGTCCCCCTCCTTCCACCATTGACCTCTGCTAGCCCACTCCCCACCCCCCACCCCAGGCCTTCACCACCCTATTGTCTGTGACCATGGGTTGTGCATACATGCAGACAAGGTCTTTGGTTGATCACCTCCCACCCCCCACCCTTCCCCGCCTTCCTTCTGAGATTCCACAATCTAAGCTTCTATGTCTCTGGACCTATTTGGTTCAAGTTGTGCCCACTTAGATTTTGAGGTGCCGTTGCTCACAATTTCTTGTCTTAATTGATTTCTCGGAGTCCTTGTTAGTGTGTTAGCAGCTGTCCCTGGCTGTGGACTCTTAGTATAACTGTCCCGGGACCTTTCCAAGAACCTTAATAAACCTCTTTCCTTTAAAAATTTGGATATAATTTGTTTGGATCTGTGAGAGAGTGGAGCTCAAATCCCAGAGTGACTAACCCACGGCTCCAGTGAACTCGGAGTCAAGAGGGTGCCCTCCTGAGCTTCTCCTCCCAAGACCTTCAGCTTCAGATCCTACCCTCCTCGCCACAGCTGTTCAGACAAGCAAAGGAGGCAACTTAGGTCAGATAAACAGGCTTCAACACTTCTTGGAGCAGGTGATTCTCCAAAATCTTCAGAGTGGAGACTGCCCGCTTCAGGAAGTGTTAAATAAAGTTTGTTTATATCACCTAAATCAGTGATGGCGAACCTATGACACGCATGTCAGAGGTGACACGCGAACTCATTTTTTGGGTTGATTTTTCTTTGTTAAATGGCATTTAAATATATAAAATAAATATCAAAAATATAAGTCTTTGTTTTACTATGGTTGCAAATATCAAAAAATTTCTATAGGTGACACGGCACCAGAGTTAAGTTAGGGTTTTTCAAAATGCTGACACGCAGAGCTCAAAAGGTTCACCATCACTGCCCTAAATTGTCTTCTTTAAATGTTTTACCAGAACATAGGCCACAGATATTTGCATCAGACTTAAAAAACAACCACCGTCAGATTGTTAAGTATACAGTGCCTGGGAAGATGGACTAGGAGGGGACATATAACTTTTTAAGTGGTGAGATTTTTAATGCTGCTTTCGTTTTAGAATAAATGACCATGAGAATTGTGCGTCACTGCTGCTGGGGGCCATCGATTCCAGCATTGTCAATTGCAGGGACGACAAAGGCAGGTGGGTGACCCAGGACAGCATGCCTCTCCTCCCCACGCATCCCAGCCTCTGCCCTGTGGTTGCAGAGGGCCAGACATCTCTTATTTAGTTTTTAAATGGAAAAGTGATATGTACGCATGTTTTTTAAATTAAGCATTGTAAAGGACATATAATTAAAACAAGTTTTCCTCCTCGGCCCAGCAGCCCCAGCCTCTGCCACAGAGGAAGCCACTAGAAACTGTCCTTTCCAAAGGTGGATAGTCCCTCACATATTGTCTGTGCACAGCTACAAACATCTGTAAAATGTATGTGCTCATATCCCTTCTGTGCAAATGGAGCACTCCATAGCAATGCTCTGCTTGTAGTACATCTTGGAGATCTTCCCAAATACTAAAACCCTTAGATTTACCGTATTCTTTTTAAGGCTGAATATTATTCATCTGAATGGATATATTATAACTTAATCAGCCTGCCCGCTATGGAAGAATATTTAGGTTGTTTCCAGTACTTTGCTATTTCAAAGGGTGGTGCAGTTCACATGTGCCTGGTCCTATGACCCAAGTGTATCTAGCAGATAAAATCCTAGAAGTGGTTAAAAGGCCAGTAGTTTTTAAAGTTGACAAGCAATGCCAGGTTGTCCTCCCCAAAAAATCATTCACATTAGATGACGTGGGCTTTTTAGAAAAATAGCCAGTGATCTACAAATTTAAGGTGTAATTTTGAAAGTATCTTTATCCAAGGGGAGAGAAAAACCACTGGGACTCAAGATTAAAGCGGTCAACAAAGATGCTAATTTCACGATCAGGGCCACCAGCTCACCCCCTCCTCCCTGCATTGGTGACCCTGCCGAGGGGCCTGGTGATCATCTCCGTGACCTGCCATGTTTCTCTGGCGTGCACGGAGCGCGGGTGAGGTTCCCAGGAAGCTAACGCCGCTCGTTCCGCCGCCAGGACGCCGCTGCACGCCGCAGCCTTTGCGGACCACGTGGAGTGCCTGCAGCTGCTGCTGAGACACAGTGCCCAGGTGAACGCGGCCGACGACGCGGGCAAGACGGCGCTGATGATGGCCGCGGAGAACGGGCAGGCGGGCGCCGTGGGTACGTGCCCGAGGGGGGACTGCCCATCCGTGCCTGTCCAACACCAACGGCATGGGCAAGCAAAAAGCCGTTAGTCTCTTGCTATCTACCCGTAAAAAGGCCAACATCTCACCTAAGCCACCGGCACCACTTGCTCATTGTCCGCAGTCCCGCTACTGGCTGCTCGGTGGGCCTGATCCAAGTGAGCCAACCTCTCAGCAGGGAAATCTCTTGACGTTGAGAAACCAGAGGTAACACAGAGCCGTTGTGCCTGGGGATAAAGCTGTCAAACAATGGATGCCGACAGGCCTTGGATTTGGCTAGAACAATCGTGGCCATAAATGCTTCCTTTTTTTCTTAAACACATGAAATAGGATTATGTGAGCTGCACTCATTGAGATCTGTTATTGTTTCTGTAGTAACTTCTTTAAAGTGCATTAATTGGCATGTAGTCTGAGTAGCTTTCTTTTGTTTTTTTTTATAGACATTCTGGTGAACAGCGCCCAGGCTGACCTGTCTGTGAAGGACAAGGATTTGAACACACCCTTGCATTTGGCGTGTAGTAAAGTATGTAAAGAAATATGACACACTGTTATTCAGTATAATAATAATAGTAATAATGATGATGATGATGATGATGATAAATACCACTTCATTCTACCTCAAAAGTGCTTATCATGGCCCCTAATTAAGAGGTCCATTTCCCCAGGATGATGGCCCCGCTAAGCAGAGCTGGAGGAGGAAAAGCAAGGGTGTACCACACAGGTGGACGGGATGTGCTTTGCGTGGCGTTGGCCACTTGCATGCTGACTGCAGTGTGACTTGATGCTGCCACTGTGTCTGTGGTACCACCTTTTGGTTATAAACACACATTAGGGCCTCAGATACATGGCGTCTAGCATATGGGCCTCTCCACTTGTTCTCATTTTGTTTCGTTGGAAGGCCTTGTAATAACACAGCCCACATGCTCTCTTGTGAGGCAAGTCAGTGTGTTCGTGTGCAGGTCTACCCTCTCCCTTTTTTCTGGTGCCTAGTCCAATGCAAAGAACGCATTTGTGTGTGTGGTGTTTTGTTGTTTTTTTTTTTTAAAAAAATAGCATTGTGTTCACTGCTTCAGCAAAAGATAAATGGCACATAGGAATGTGATTTCACAGAAGCGGGATCATACTGCTTACAACCTGCTTTTGTTCCTGAGTCACATGTTATGAATAGCTTTCTTGTGTAGACATTTCATAATGTTTTTGAAGATGCATGGTACTCTCTACCTTAGGAATATGCCACCCTTTATTCAGCCTACTCCCTCCCATTAGACATTTGCTTGTTTTCAAATACAAGCTACTCTACATAATAATAACTGTGGTGCAATGTTTTAGGAAGCCTTGTTCCTTTAAACTAAATGTCTAAATGTGAAATTTTTGAGCCTGGGCTATGAACATTTTAAAGTCCAAATTCCCCTAAAATGAAGTCTTAACTATTTACACTCCACCAGTAGTATATCAGAATGAAACCTCCGTGGATATTTCTAAAGTTATATTTAAGGGTCTCCTTTCTAAGGCATTGTGGTATGATGGCAGCTGACACCAGTGATGGTGTTTATTTCAGTACTAGAGGTCTGGTGCACGAAAATCATGCACTGGAGGGTGGAGAGTGTCCCTCAGCCAGGCCTGTGACCTCCTGCAGTTCAGGAACCCTTGGAGGATGTCCGCCTGCTGGCTTAGGCCCATCCCCACCCCCACCACCGGGGATCAGGCCTAAGCCGGAAGTCAGACATCCCTCTCACAGTTTGGGGCTCTCAGAGTGCAGTTCCCATCACTTCTTACTGCCTGCCTGCAGCGGAGGCGGGAGAGGCTCCTGCCACCACTACTGCGCTTGCCAGCCATGAGCCCAGCTTCTGGCTGAGCGGTGCTCCCCCTGTGGGAGCACACTGACCACCAGGGGGCAGCTCCTGTGTTGAGCGTCTGCCCCTTGGTGGTCAGTGCGCATCATAGCAACCGGTCGTTTGGCCATTCAGTCGATTTACATTATTAGGGTTTTATTACATAGGATAGTTCCAGCATTAAAGGTGTTATCTGTATCCAGCGGCACCGGCAGTCTCAGCTGTTCCTCTCATCAGTTGCATTTTCTCACTTCATGTTCAGGGTGTCCCAGGGAAACCACAAAAAGTGCTCCATTTCATCAAGTGTGTTTCAAGGTGTAGTTTTCATGACTATAAATGCAATGCTTTTCAAACGTTATTGTGACCTGAGGATATTGTTAAAATTCAGCTTCTGATTTAGGAGGGCGGGAGTGGGGCCTGAGATTCCATGTCGCTAAGTGCCAGGTGATGCTGATGTTGATGCTTCGGGTCACAGGGGCACAGGAAGCCAGCACCTTCGCGGAGCGCAGGCCTGAAACCGTGGAAGCGCCTCTGACGGATCCATTAAAATTACCCACTGTTGTCATAAGGTGCAGAGATCATTTCCCCTTGCTGAGGAGGAAATGAATAGGCTTTCTTGAAAAAGAATCCTTTCACAATATAAGGCAGTAACTGATGAGTGACACAGATAATAGGTGACATGCGAACTTCAAGGATAAATGGATCAAGGAAGTGGTCAATCATGAAGACTTGAGGAAGGAGATGGGACTTGACTTACATTTAAAAAGTGATGTTAAAGGATACTTCTAATTCTCCTCCCTGTTTACCAGCTGACCCAGCTGAATTCGTATCGGTTTCAGCTCCCTGGACATTAGTTCTAAAACTTATCCTAGAAATGTTAGTATTTCAGATCAGATTTATATTAACCAAGTCCTAATGGGACCTCATTTGGAATCTTGGAGAATCTAGGGCCCTGGGACTATTTGCTTTTTAGAAGAAAAAGGAATTACTCAGATGATGGCCTTATAACATGTATACAGGCAGAGGACATTCATTTCACATTTAAAGCCCAAAGAAGCAATTGTTCTGGAACTTTTCTAAGTCTCCATCCTGAGTCTCTGATCATTTTCTTTTTCTTCCCTAGGGTCATGAAAAATGTGCCTTGTTAATACTTGACAAGATACAAGACGAGAGCCTTATTAATGCCAAAAACAATGCACTGCAGACGTAAGTGTGATGGCTAGAGCTGGACTCAGACCCAGATTCCTAGTCATTTATTCAACACATGTGAAGAGCTTGCTCTGTGCCAGGCTGGAGCTGGGACACAGTAGTGAAGCACAGAACCACTCCTCCTTCGTGAAGTTTAGTCACACACCTGCAGCTCAGACCCAGCTAGACAGTTTCCGTTAGAACCTGCATTTTGATATGCCGGCATAGAGATTTGTGAGGTCTGTGTTTTTCTTTGCTGACATTTCTATGGTAATATTATAAATTTACTGGGCTATTAGGAAAACGTATGGGCTGACCTATTTGGGAAATATTTGTATACTGGTAAATGTATTAGCATTATGTGTTCTTCCTAGAAAATGACAGTTTTATAAATTAGGTTCCCAGAATATATTTGAAGAGTTTCTAAGCAATTTGTCTTAATTACATTTTAATGTAATTCAGTGTTATCCTCAGTGTGAAAAACTTAAAAAGCTGCTTTAGCTTTAGCCATGTGGCTCAGTTGGTTAGAGCATCATCCCATATACCAAAAGATTGTGGGTTCGATTTCCAGTCAGGGCACATACCTAGGTTGCAGGGTTGATCTCCGGTTGGGGTGCATACAGAAGGCAACCAGTTGATGTTTCTTTCTATCTCTCTTCTTCTTTGTAAAATCAATTAAAAGATCAGCATATCCTCAGGTGAGGACTAAAATTAATAATAAATAAATAAATACATAAGTGCTGTTTTATTTTCTATTTTAGGAAATTATGTATTTGTTTTAAAGGGCAAAGAATATTAGCATTTTTTCATTAAAATTCTTAAGGAATAGATAGCAGAACATACTAACTTTGACATTGTTCTTTAAGATGTTCTAAATTCAGTAAAATATCGCTTAGTAATAACAAAGAGGTTTGAGGTTATATGTATGAGTGATATTAGACAGTCATATTGATGAACTGGGTGAAACAGTGATTCAAATGCAAGCGTACAGCTCAAGGGTTAAAGAACCTTCTAGAAAATGCACCAGAGCTTAAGTTCTTCTGTCTTCCTATTTACTGTCATTGAGGTTGTTTGAGATGCAGAGTATTTGTGATATCTGCAGAGAAATCTGGGCCAGCTTGGAAGGACTGTTGGGTCATTAGCACCTGGAAAAGACCTGGTCAGCAAATCTTCCCCCCCCTCCCCCCCTGAGTAAAAATGTTCAGAGGCTATTTATGGATTCTTACCCACTTGCTGCCTCTTAGCAATGCAGGCTGCCCAAATGGCGCATCTCACACAAACGCGTCTCCCGCCTGACGCCCTGTGTTCTTTCTCAGGCCCCTGCACGTCGCTGCGCGCAATGGCCTGAAGGCCGTGGTGGAGGAGCTGCTGGCCAAAGGGGCCTGCGTCCTCGCTGTCGATGAGAACGGTGAGTGGGAAAAGGACATGATCACGGCAGGTGCCTTCCCTGTGCCGGGGAGCCAGAGGACAGGAGGGATGTAGGAGCTAGTTGAAGAGGCAGTAGGAACCCTCTCCCTTCGGAGCCCCCCGTGTGTGAGAAATCAGCAAGGATGCTGTGTCCTGTCTGTCTTCGTTAAAGTGCAGTCTCCCTGTAGCCACCACTGCCTCCCATTCTGCATGTGACGTCAGCAGCGAGGGTCGCTGGCTCCTCAGCGTGGCGGTTAAAATGCCCGAGACACACGGACGAGCTTGCACCTTGGCATTCGCCGTGCTGACCGCACACACTGAAGAGTGAGGGATTCCCCATCATCCATGCATGCTCAAGGGCTCGCGTCAACACCAGGTCTCTGTGTTCCAGTCCATTCTGAGATCAAACCTTTTTCTTTTCTTTTTGAGAACAGACCAGAACGCATATTCCCAGGATGGCTATTTGGGGAATGTGAATAAGAATTTTAAATTCATGTCTAGGCTTGACACTTCTCTTGATCTAGATAACGTCCCTTTTCTGAATGAACTAACTCTTAACAGCAGCTTTCTCCTCTGCTTCCTACGAAATTGTGAACCCCAGGATTGTATTAGATGCCATTCGAAGCACAATGCCTATTAATTAGCCTTGGGGAGCAGGCACGGGACTTCTGGATATTTACTAATTAAGTAAATTTTTCAAAATGTGGCATGAATTGTGGCATTTAATTAACGTCGTATAATAAAATGCATTAACGTAACTCATTAACTGCTTATTACAGGTGTTGGAATTAGCAGCTCATGCCCATTGCTCAGAAGCAAGCAGCCCTATGGCGCCGTTAGCTATAACTCCTGTTAGTTTGGTTTTGCGGCCCCATTTCCCCTAGCATGTCCCCTGGCCCGATTCATCTAGGAGATGCAGAAAGTTCGCGGTTACTCCATCCGTCTGGTTTTCCTGCCTCCCCTTCCCTCACCCTCTACTCACCGTTGTAGACTTTGGGGCTGGCGTGCAGAGGCCTATGGCTTTTCTCCACAATGACCAGAGACCAGAACACACAGTGTTCGCTTCTCTGGTGTATAAGTCTGCTACACCCGAGGCTCATCCAGCCCTTACTGACCTTGGGCAGTGGGACTGTGGCTTGTCTCGGAGCTTAGCTGCATCCCAAAGACCTCGGAACATCTGGGGCGCGTTAGTACAGCCCCACAATCCTATTCCTTGACTCATCACAGACCTTCGTGGCAGAGGACGTTAAGATATCCGTCCATTCTTGTTTGTTTTCACACCAGAGAAGGAATAATCTGTTAAGAGGGGCGAGGAGGGGGAGGCAGAAATGAGGTCAAGCGCTGATAAACAAAACAACAGAAAGTTCGGTTTTATTGAGCCGGTTCCTCTTGAGTAAATGAGCGAGAAGTAGTGGCAACTCCGGCCAGCAGAGAGGACAGGATGGCCTGGAACCAAAGCGGACAAAGGCAGCCATAATGACATCCACGAGTATCTATTTCCCTGCGCACCTGTTTCGTGCTCTGAGCTCACTCTCCCCTCCGACGGCAGCCATCAGCCTAAATGGTAGAGCAGGGCACGACTATGCCAACCATCGCGATTTCCCCACCTCGGCTGCCTTTCGGTTGGCAATGTTGCTATTTTTTAAAATTCTGTTAAGTTTTGTTGTTTTTTTAAATGATGGTACATGTTCAACGACACATGACCGGTGCCTGCCTGTTTCTGACCTCCTCGCATGATTCCGTTTTTCTAGAGCCAGTTAATGGTAGGATCTGACACACAACCGCCTACAATGGAAAGCCATTGTTCTCAGAATGAGCGTGCTCCGGCCCCGGCCGAGGCCCATGGTGTGAGTGTGTGTGCTCGCCAGTGGGAGCCCCTTCCTGGCTGTCCCGTGGCTGTTTTTTTGTGGAATTGTGTCCCCCGCCCCACCCCTCCTCGTGTTTCCATTCACTAGACAAAGACTGGAATTCTGCCTAATTTTGGATAATGTAGTGCTTGTCGTTGTCACGTAAGCTGAAAAGGATCCCCCAACCCTCCCGAGAATGCCTCCCCTCCAGGCCCCTCTCACCTCACCCCTAGCATGCCCTGTGAGAAGTAACTCCTCCCTTTGCCTGCATGATTGCTAACTCAACATACATCTCCGTGGGAGGTCGGATGAGATGTACTGTGGATGCTCGGACTAACCACTGCCTTGTCTGCATTTACGCCCAGGTCATACCCCGGCCCTGGCTTGTGCTCCTAACAAAGACGTGGCTGACTGCCTGGCCCTCATTTTGGCTACCATGATGCCTTTTTCTCCTTCCAGTACAATGACGGCTGTCAACTTGGTTTGTTTTAAAAAAGACAATTTGAACAGGACGACCCTCTCCAACCTGGGTAGCATGGTTAGCCTGTGCAGTAACGACGTAGGCTCGGAGGATGGGTGCAATGAGAACGACTCTGATTCGGAAACCTTTTGACCTTGGACTGTAGACGTTTTCCCTTGTTCGAACCTGTTGGAGGAAGGGGAAGAAGCTCGGATTCCAGGTTTAGGTCGTGTTCCAGTGTTATTATGGGCCCGAGCTACCAGAAGCCGGTAGAGAAGGGATTCATTCATCAGACTGAGGGAGGGCAGCTAGGCCAGAGGACCAAGCACTCACACGGATGGGCCCTGCTTTTGATCTGTCTCATGCTTTCCTTAGCTCTAAGAGACTTCTGTGAAAGTCTACCTCTCATTTTAAAGAAGGAATAAAAAAAAATGCATTTAATTCTTTTTCTTTGGGGATAATGCACTGAGAGGGAACTGTTGTCCCCTATAAAGTATGGTGTGTGTTTTTTTATTTTATCTGTTTTGTTCACATACTCACTTGGCAGTGAGTTGTCAGAAGTGTATCATGCATGTCCCCAGGGGGAAGGGGAGGCAGGGGCAGATAGGAAAAGCCTCCAACCTCCTCTCCCTTTGCTGTTTACGTCCTCACTAGAACCCAAAGGCAAACGTGTTTCTCTCTGGAAATCATGCCTGTAGTCATCTTTCTAAGGGAGACCGATGATCCGTGTCCTCCCTAGAGTGAGCCCTTCAATAGCCAGGACTTCCTCCCGAGGCTATTTGTTGAAGTTGCCAAATGAAGGAGAAAAACTCATTGAAAGCAGGACTTGCTTGTTTTTCCTTTAACACAAACATGGCGCCCACTGCTCCCCATAATAAGCCTGTGGCTTATGCCCACCCGAGCGATGGCATCCAGGGCTGTCTGTTGCCCTGCCGGGGAAAGGCAGATGGCACCCACACCCGGAGGCCTATGCAGGTTTGCTATGGAACTGCCCTTACTGATTCATCCTTAGACAAAACAGTAACTTCCAAAGAACATCAGGACCATCAGCCTTGTTCATCGATAGTAAAATATTCCAGGGGCTTCTCAGTTGAGGTCGTGCCAAGTGAGGGCCAGTGTGGCTGCAGCAGGGGACAGAGAGAGGCAGAGCAGGTGGCAGGAGTGGGGGATGTGGAGAGGAAAGCCCGTGGTAGTTGCTCGCTGATGAAATCAACCTGGTGAACCCTGTGTCTGCTCCCTCTGCCAAAGCTTCTAGGTCCAACGGACCCCGCCCCGCCCCGGGAATAGCTGCACAAAAAGAAGAATGAGACTCTTCCAGAACCGTTCACACACACACGTGCACACACATGTATATAGTTCTGTCTGTATCTCATCAGCCAGCTCTCCAGGAGGACCAAAATGCTTCCGTCAAGAATGGAAGACTTCACTGGTTTTTCTTCACAGTGAAAGTGAGAACTGAAGTAGCTTTTCTATGGAGTTAAAATGGAATCTTTTTGCGTAAGAGTCTTTGTTGTATTTTATATTTCTTATGACAGAGATTTCCAGTGGATGGCTTACCATTTGTAACGGATGATGTGTTGACCATGGCTTATTTTTTTTTTTGCCAGACTAGAGAAAATGTTCATATACTTTTGATGTAAATGTGTTTATATTTATTGGAAATGAAACAAATGCCGAGGGAGCGTCCTTTGTTCGTTCTCCCTTTTCATTGCTGTGTGTCTTACTTGGAAAAACAAAAAAGCGGAAAAACACACAGGGCCCTCCCTGGGCCGGCCAGCAGCCCTGGGCCAGCCAGCAGCCCTGGGCCACGCCCAGCATTTCCACTGCTAAGGTCTCAGCGGATCCTCATCATCTCCCACATGGATTGGAGAGGGCACAGCACCCATCGCTCAGTCCCGGTCTGTGGCCAACCTAGAGCTTAGAAGACATTGGAGTCCTTCTGCTCTTCTGCCAGATGAACCTGAAGTGCGTTGTGGATCATATGCGCAGACGTGGCCAAAAGAAAAGTCCAGAAATGATCCCAAATGCACTGAAATCCCACGTGGTCCCAGTAAACTCCTGGGAAACTGCATCAGTGGGTGGACACTTGTGCCAAGAGAAGAAATAACAATCACCAGCTCGCACTATTCCCACTGGGGGAAGAAAGTGTTGTGTGAGGGGAGTACCAACCATCTGATAACTGGGTCCCTTTCACCCTGGAAATTGCAGTTTCATCGTGTCTGTGAGATATTTTTACAACAGAGTTCTACCGTATCTGGATCAAATACAGATTCTGTATTCTGTTTCTCATCTAACTGCAAGAGACTTAGTCTCGCTCTTTTAATACCCGGATTGAGTGAGAAGCTCACGTTGGGTTCTTCACGGAGGACAGCTTGTCCAGAGGACTTCCAGCATTGTGTTTGCATCCCCCTTTTCCCTCTGTCCTTTTTGTTTGTTTAGAGAAGATGAATTCTTTTGCAGCAGGTAAATTGCTCATGAGTAATAATGACCTCATCGTTACCAAAACCCTGAGCATGAGAGAGAGCCAATGCTGAGAAGCACGATACACTGCGGTGTCTTTTTCTAGAAGTGAATGGAAATCTTGCTCCGTTGGCGTAGAAAGCAGGCAAAGAGACGGCCGCTTCAGTGGTGGCGCAGCGGTGTCAGGGCCCCCGCGGAGCCTCACAGAGGGCAGGAGCGCCGCAGCAGGATGCAGGCCTGGGCCTCATCTCCGCGGAGCTGCTTTTGACTCCCTCCACCCCTTCCTCACAGAAGGAAGGCGGACAAAGGAGCAACACGAAGTCATGCTTACTCTGAACGGTTCATTGAATCCCTCTCTCCTCTTGCTCCCTCCCCCCTGCCCCCTGCCCCTGGCCAATTCTTTTCCTTTGAGAAATGACTTTAAAAACTCTGAGTTCTGTATCTCTCAAGTACATCTCTTAGAGATAACATTAGATTTGCAACATAGCTTTCTAAGAAAAAAAACAGAAAACATTGTGCTTTTCATTGAGTCTTAGCCGGTTAGTGCTTTTTACCTACATGTGTTCTTTTTCGACTCGATTTTAACCACAGCCACAGGGATCACATTTCATTGCACTTCACCTGTTCGCCAGCGTCTGCCTGTCCGTGGTAAATACATTACTGTCTCCACATTGCCTAAAATCTGCTACGATTCTACAGTAAATAGCTCAGGGGATTTCTATGTATCACTACTAAAAGGGCACCGTAGTATGTTTTGGTACTTTAGGCAGTACACAGCTGCTTGATTTATTATTTTGTTATTAAATTAGAGCAAGAATAGCACACAGACTCGCTGCACTAGTTATGCTTTGTACTGTTGAGCAACTCGGTTTGCTTGTCTGTTGTGTTGGTTGAAGAACTCATCCCCTTTTTTCCCCTTTTGTCTTGTACTATGAAGGTAGAGTGCCTTTTTATATCTGTATATTCTGAAAATGTTCTGTGAAATGTTTTGTATTTTTTTCACTTGAGTGTTATCAGAGCAATATAATACAAGTGAGTTTTCATTTCAGCCTTTCCTTGAATGTATAAAGTGTCTTTTTTTTTCCCTAGTTCCCCTTTTCCCTGCTTTGAAATGGAAATGGATAAGCCGAAGTGTTCTCTAGGAGTTCTGTTTGATTTTGCAGTGCTAAAATGCTTTCTTCTTCCCAAACCGTAAACCAGAGGTCAGTGTTACAGGGGGAAAGCGTTTCAGGATAGTGACAATCTGAGTGTGTGTACACAATGTAATTCTCCGCGTTCCTTATGCAGTGTTCTAAAAGCTCAATGCAAGTGTATTTGGGTTGGTAGTGTGTCTACGTGTCTTATGCTTTAGCATGTGCAATATATCTTTGCGAAGCACGATGATACAAATCTGGTGCCAGTGTTCTATTTTGCCTAATATATTTGTAACAGCATCAAATATTGTTTGATGATATCAGTGGGATTTTGTCTGTAATGTTTTCTTATGTAAATTGAGGTTGAATGACTCTGGTAAATGCCATGACTGTAAAAATGAGGAAAATGACTGAGTTCAGTGAATGACTTTGAACCAATCTGAATCTTCTCAAGCACAGTTTAATACTTTTTCAACTACTGAATGCTAATAATGTAATGACGTACTTAACTGTAATATACTATGGACATGCATTCAGATGGTTATTTTTACAAATAAAGACGGTACAAATATTGTTGCAATTTCTGTTTTCTTTAATTTTACCAACTATTCTGATCATTTACATCTTTATCTCCCCTACCCATGCCAAATTAACATTAAATTCCTAAAAAATAAATAATCAGAGAGAAGTGTATATGCATATTTAATACTTCTGTTTGTGTCACCACAGTTAGAGAAAAAATTCAAATATGTATATTTGTGTTGATTATATTTATTCTTGTCATAAAAGATTTCAGCTGGCTTGTAACAAAAGAATGTGATAAAGAAATAGAAAAATTAAGACGGAAAATGCAAACAAATATGGGAACTGTAAAGTTTAGCACAGTGGCCATGACTGAACTTGAGTTTGCTCTAAGCTTCCTCGTGTTCACGGTAAGAGGGGAAATGTGATTAATTGTCTGGTTGCATATATCAGAAAGGAGGAAGCTTAGGAGGTCTTCAAAACTGTGACTTCAACCGTTCTTGTCTTTGTTGTTGCCACCACTACCTTTCAACTGCTTCATAGCACACGAGACCCGGCCTCTCTTCACTGTTCTTAAAGGTATAGTATAGAGAATTTTCTCTTCATCTCATCAGAATTTCTCCCCTGATGTAATTTCAGGAACAGTCGCTAGAAGCACTAACGAACAAATTCCTGATGATAGAGTTCCCAACTGATGAGAAAAAGATGTGGGGGTGGGGCCTTCCTGAGTTCCTCAAATCACAGTGTCATAGAATGTTAGCGGCTCTTATAGTTTAGCCCAATCCCATCCACTGTTTTTCATGAAAATACTGAGCCCCAGAGAGGTTATAGAATTTGTTCAAGTTTGTGTATACAAATATTCAGTAACCTGGTTTGATACCATGTGTGCCTATAGGTCTCTCTTCTGTGTCATCCTACTGAATATTTTTTTAGTTGTTTTTTTATTATTATTATTTTTCCTAGAAATGTTCTGAAAGGTTGCACTCTGCCCTGTCCTCATTCAGATATACAAATCCACATGCTTTCCATTTTTTAAAATTTTTTTTTATTGGGGTGACATTAGTCTACACGAACATATAGGTTACATGTATGGATTACTCATTTACAAAATCTGTATATAGAACCATGTGCCCACCACCCAAAGGCAAATCTTCTCCTGTCACCTTATATTAAGACCCCTTTCTTCCCTCACCCCCTCCCTCTGCCAACCACCACACTGCTGTTTGTGTTCATAAGTTTCAGTTTTATATTCCAAACTAGAGGCCCGGTGCACAAATTCATGCACGATTGCAGTCTGGCTAGCCCGCCCTGATAGGGGCCAATCGGGGCCAGGCCAGTGCAGGGGAGGGGACCCGGGAGGTTGGCCAGTCGGCCCCATCCCTGATTAGGCTGGTTGGCTGGCCGCAGTGGGCATCATAGCGACCAGCCATTCCGGTTGTTCTGGCGTTCCAGTTGCTGGCTTTTTATATATATAGATATGAGTGAAATCATAGCTTAACTTTTTCTGTTTGACTTATTTCACTTCGCATAATGTTCTCAAGGTCCCTCCATGTTGTTGTAAATAATGCTTTTTCATCCTCTCTATGGCTGTGTAGACTCCTTTGTGTATATATACCACATCTTCTTTATCCAGTCCTCTATCATAGGGCACTTTGGCTGTTTCCAACTCTTGGCCACTGTGAATGCTGCTGCAATTAACATAGGGGTGCATGTATCTTTGCATATAAATGATTTCGGGTATATACCCAGGAGTGGGGTCATTGGGTCTTACGGTAGCTCTATTTTTAATTTTTTGAGAACTCACCAGACTGCTTTCCATAGTGATTGTACCAGTCTACATTCCCACCAGCAGTGAATGAGGGTTCTCTTATTTCCACAACCTCTCCAACACTTCTTGTTGCTTGCTTGTTGAGATTGGCCACTCTAACTAGTATAAGGTGGTATCTCATTGTAGTTTTAATTTGCATTTCCCTGATTGCCATTAAGGTTAAACATCTTTTCATATATCTATTGGCTGTTTGTATGTCTTCTTGGGAGAGGTATATTTTCAGGTCCTCTGTGCACTTTTTGATTGGATTGTTAATTTGTTTGGTGTTGAGTTTGATGAGTTCTTTATATATTTTGGAAATTAAACCTTTATCAGAGCTACTGTTTGCAAATATCATCTCCCATCTGGTTGGCTGCCTGCTTGTTTTGTTGTCTGTTTCTTTTGCTCTGCAGAAGCTCTTCAGTTTGATATAGTTCTATTCCTTTATTTTTGCCTTTACCTCCCTTGCCTTTGAGGTTAAGTCCATAAAATGTTCTCTACCACCCGGGTCCATAACTTTGGTACCTATATATTTTTTTCTATGTGACCTATAGTTTCGGGTCTTATGTTTAAGTCGTTGGTCCATTTTGAATTAATTTTTGTACATGGGGACAAACTGCAGTCTAGTTTCATTTATTTGCATGTGGCTTTCTAGTTTTCCCAGAACCATTTATTGAAGAGGCTGTCTTTATTCCAATGTCCATTTGTGGCTCCTTTGTTGAAAATTATCTGTCCATTTACGAGTGGTTTTATAGCTGGGCTCACTATTCTGTGCCATTGATCTGTGTTTCTGTTTCTTTGCCAATACCATGCTCTTTTGATTCTATGAGGCCAATGTAACCCTGATACCAAAATCAGAGTTTCTCACTGACTTCAGGGATATTTTCCATCGGCTCAGAGACTCTGCTGGACCGTCCACGCACACAGCAAACCCACTTCCTGCTACACTCAGGATCCTCCTCGGGATTTTCATTCCCAGCCTGCCCTGATGGCCTCCAGGAGACTCCTCCATGCTTTTCATTTTTGAAGATTATAAAGCATGAATCCTACCAGAGGTGAGTACTTTCTGTAGTCTAGAGCAGACTGGGGTATATTAGTTAGCTAAAGCTGTGTAACAAATTGCCCCAAAACTTAGTGACTGAAAACAACTAATGTCAAATACCTCACGATTTCAGTGAGTCAGGAGTCCAGGCTTGGTTGAGTTGGGTCTTCTGCATAGGGTCTCTCACAGGCTGTGGTTATGGTGTTGACCAAGGAAAGATTCATTGTGAAGCTCGCTCGTGTGGTTGCTGGCAGGATTCTTCATTGACTGTGACCAGGGTTTCAGTCCTAGTGGCTGTTGGCTGCCCCTGGTTCCTTGCTGAATGGGCCTTTCCATAAGGAACTCACAGCATGGCAGCTGGCTTCAGGAGAGCCAGCAAGCAGAGAAGAGCCAGAGAGGGAAAAGGCAAGACAGAAGTCACAGCTTTTTTAAAAAACATATATTTTTATTGATTTCAGAAAGGAAGGAAGAAGGGAGAGAGAAGTAGAAACATCAATGATGAGAGAGAATCATGGATCAGCTGCCTCCTACGTGCCCCCTACTGGGGATCAAGCCCACAACCCTGGCATGTGCCCTTGACCAGAATCAAACCTGGGATCCTTCAGTTTGCAGGCTGACACTCTGTCCAAACCAGCAAGGGCAGTCACAGCTTTTTAACTGAATCTCAGAGTGACATTCTGCCCTTTTCCCCATGTTCTGTTCATTAGAAGGCAATCACTAGGCCCACCCATGCCCAAGGAAAGGAGATTACCGACGTGTGAGACCAGCAGGCGGGAGTCACCGGGGGCCTTTCGGAAGCTGTGTACCACACTGGGTCTGTCACAGTGTCCTTCCAAAGTATACCATCGCTGGGGTGACTGCTTCCGGTCATTGTTAAGGACATTAGTTACTTGACTTCCTTTTTCAAGAAAAATGTAGGGATTCCTTAATGTCACTGTGCTCCCAAGAAGCAAGCAGGAGGGGAATGGCCTCTGCTGCAGTGACTGTGCTGATCCTTGACATGGCACTTTGTCTCCAAACTGTTTGTCAAGGGAACCCTCTCTCTGATTCCCCTCAGTAGGTATAGTGCCCTGAACATCTCTCTCTCACTGAACACTGAAATGTGTTCCAGAATTAGCTTGCAAGGCACAAAGGCATTAAGCTAAAGGGCTATTAACATAACCTAAAAATACTGTGGGCAAAAGCGCTGTGTGAATTGTCTCTTAGCAAATTTCACACTGAAGGCACATTTGCTGTAAAATATAAAGCAGCAAAGATAATGGCTCTGCTATTCATTAATTTTTGGGTACTTCTAGGAGATGATTGGAAATGTGTGGGCATTTGTGGCTGGCACAGTGATGGGCCAGGGAGGGTTGCTACTAGCATTTACTAGGCCAGGGATCCCAAAGGCCCCATCTGGCCCAGGGTACAACTACGCCACCCTCAATACCAGTGCTCCCCCAACTTAGTGCTCATCTACTTCCCCTCCTATTGTTTCTGAATCATTTCTTCATCCATGTATTATTGGTGAAGCCAGTCATATTTTAAAATTATTCTCTCAAGGAGTCACATAAACAGGCTCTACTACAGTACACGTCCCTTGAAAAGAGCTCTTACGAACTTAAGAACAAGAACTCTGCAATGTTGAATACGTGCTCCCTGGTTGTGCATTTTTCCAGGAGAGATTGCATGAAGGTGAGTGAGGGGAAAAGTGCACCGATTTGAGGCAAATATTTAATTCTTGTGTTGTTAAACACACAAATGCACACACATGTTTTAAGCGATGGATTATTGCATCTACCTCTGGGTGGGGGAACCCTACTCACAAAGCTGGGGCCCTGGGACCACCATCACAAGACAAGATCTGCAAACACAGCACTACTGTATCACATAATTCTCTAGGTAGGCAGTTTCTAGCGCACCATTTTCTGCCTCTAAGTGTCTATTCAATGAAGCATATTTACATTTTATGGGAGTTTTATAATTTTCAAAAGTAAAACCATGGAAGCAGCCCTTCAAGCCCTCAAAACTTATCCGTGTTTATATTCAGGGGACGAGGCACGCCGCAAGTCTGAGAACTTTAAGAACTCACGTATCTTATAGTTAGGTTTCCTAAGAATCACAGGCATTTAAGCTCAGATCTTAGTGACGAGAAGATGCCAGCAATAGAGAGATCAGAGGAGAAAACGTTCTAGGCAGAGGGAGTAGAGCCTTGCCAGGTGAGTCCACG